TAATCCTATAGCATCCCTGGCCCCTGCTTACTGAATGCCAGGAGCACTCTCTAATCAAAGTGTCAAAGTGCTGTCATTCAGAACCACTGGTCTCAGAATGTGAGTTGACCTTATGCTTTCTGCCCACTTTTCTCCAGGCCTGGGGAGAGCCTAACCATGGACATAAGGACCTGTAAACAGTCACCCATTGCACCTGCGGAAACCACCCCATATCCAGATATGCAGCTTAGGGCTCCATGGGTTGGTTGCCTAAAAAGTGATAGTCACAGACGGAGTTGAAGTTCTCAGAGAATTTCAACCTTGAGCATGATTGGAACACAGTGTCTCTCTATAGTACCTGCAGATGGTAACTGTCACGGGCCCCACCCAGTCCCATCCCTGACACCACTCACTGGGGAGTGCTAGAGGGTAGGAAGGTCGGGTTGTTCCCGCGGCTGCTGGTTTCACTCCCTCCTTGCCTCTCCCCCTGATCCTTGACATACGTATGGCTGAGAACTTCTGATTGGGAGATTTACTCAAGAGATTACATTCTTCAAAGTACGTGACCGCCGGGGCAAAAAGGAAACCCATGACAAACCAATGTATTTTACTTGCTTATATGTGCTTAGAATAGCTCTGGAAATGTATCTAATAAAACAAGGAGTCGACTATTTCCCAGGAAAGGACCTGCTTGGCAGGATGATGTGGGGAATAGGAGCTTCTTTGACACTGAAACCTTTGGCTCCTTTTCAATTCTGCATGGATGGCCTGAAAATATAAATACATAAAATCTGACTTCTAAAAGATGCACTCCTTGGAAATAAGTTATTAACTTGAGTATTCCAAGTTGAGAAAGTGAGAGACTAGAGAAAGACGGGGTCATGACAAGACAAAGAGAAAGGAGAAGGCAGTTATGGAGCTCTGGAAGATGCGGCCCGGACAAGAAAGAATAAAAAGAGCATTTCTCCAGCACTTTCCAGGGGAACAAAGCTCTCATTCTAGAACTCTCCTCCTTTGGACCTATCTGTAGAGAGGAGAAAAATTATCACCAGGCTCTGTTCCATGACAAACAATCCCTTAAAAACCACCAGCTTTCCAGCCTGCTGGGACGTTTGCATGGTGGCCTCCCTCAGCAGCAGCGAAGCGTCCTCACGCGCCCTCCTCCCTGGCCACCTACTCCAGGCAGATGCACAGAAAACTGGTCCCGGATCTGTTTCCTGTGCCAAACAAATCCCACCGGGAATGTAATAAGTAGCATCCTGGCTTACAAGCTGTTTTTTGGTGAGTGCAGTGAGTAAGGCTTGATCCTGCAGGCCTGACTACCTGCGTGAGAACTGGCAACACTATATTTCCAAACTCACACTCTGAACCATTTTTCTTGGGGCAGTAGGGGGGGGGGGGGGCCCAGGACTCCTGTCTCTCCTGGCATCAGGGAGCCCGCCATAGCCCCTCTGCCTTATTCCAGGTCTAGAAGCTGCAGTCACAGGCTCACACACGTGCACCAGTGTCACTTTCTCCAACCAAGTCTGTGACTTTCCATGGCTCTCCTTTCCTTCTTTAATAGCACTAGCCTGGAACTAGGTGCCAGATTTGGGGCTAAGTACTTGATGTGCCTTTACTGATTGAGCCCTCTTAATAATGCTTCAAGTTAGGCACCATTCTTATAATCATCAATCCCACTTCGAACAGAAAGAAATGGAGGCTCAGAGAAACTCGGAAGCATGCTTGGGGGGACATAGCAAATAAGTAGTGGAGGCCTGGTGTGTCCCCGGGGGGTCCAAAATCAAAGCCCACCTGTGACCCTCTGCCTCCTGGGGCAGCAGCCCTTCCAATGCTCCCCATGTGGGGGTGTCTAATGAAAAGCTCCCTCCTTGGGAAGCTGAAGGGGTTGGGGTGGGGTGTACAGAGTAACTCAGGCCACAGGTCTTTGGGTAGAACTGGGGTCATAGTCAAAGTAATTGTTTTCTGGCTCTCGTCTCCAGTTAACTCAGGACCGTGGCTCTCAGGAAAGTCTCCTCTAGTCTGGGCAAGCCTAAACTCTCCAGCAGTGCTCACGGTCCCCCCTCCAAACACCCATCTAACCCCTGGAGGGCAGTGCCTCCCTAAGACCCAAGATACATGCCACACAGGGACCTCCAGATGCCCATGGGTCCCAGGCTTCCCTGGAATTCTCGGGGCTGGGGACTGGGGGGGAGTGCCCCTTCCCTTACTGCATCAGCTGGGGGCGCGAGGCACCCAAACAGCCTGGGATGATGCCTCCAAGCCCCTTGTGGCCCCTACCCTCCTTCTGTGGAGCTCAGACATGACCCTGGTGCTGCACAGAGTGACGGGGTCCGAGCAGCCCCCCTGGATACCCCAGTCCCCGGGTACAGCTTGGTCTTAGCCTGTAGTCCTTATTTTTGCCCCAATCCTCTGCACCATCAGCTGGGCACGGACAGGACTGAGTCCCAGCTTCATCTGATTGCCCTGCCCCATCAGCGAGAGTGACAGGCCCCCAGCAGATGGCTCCTCATGCTCTGAGACCGCCTGCCTGGGATAATTCCGCCCCCATGATCCTTTCCGTGTTAGCCCATTTTCTGTCGCTAATAACAGAATACCTGAAACTGAATAATTTATGAAGACAATACATTTATTTCTCACAGATTTGGAGGCTGGTAAGCCCAAGGCCAAGGGGCACATCTGATGAGGACCTTCTTCTGGCTGGGAACTCTCTGCAGAGTCCTGGGCAGAGCAGGGCATCACAGATGACAGGACTGAGTGTGTTAATGTGCTCACTTCCTCTCCTTATAAACCACCGGTGCCACTCTCATGATGACCCATTTATCCATTAACCCATTAATCCAGAGTGGATTAATCCATTCATGAAGGCAGAGCCCTCAGGATCCAATCACCTCCCAAAGGCCCCACCTTTCAACATTGTCATAGTCTGATTTCCCATGTTCTTAACGCTGTAACAATGAGGATCAATGAATTTTAATCAACAAAGATTCAATAAATTTTGGAAGGACATTCAAACTACAGCACCTTCTATCTGCTTCTGTCTCCTCAACAACCCCACCCCTGCCCTTGCGAAACAGTTATAGCCTCCAACCACAGGCCCTGGAAAGAGCGAAAAACCAGCAACATCAACAACAACATAACACAGTGGTGCACACGACACACTCCATGTTTCTTGCTTTTCCTAATCACTTCCTCCTGTTAAAACATAGCACCCCAATGAGGACGATACAGTGTCTGCCATTCACAAAGCATTTCTCAGTGAGTGGCACAACATGATACAAGAGAAAGATTGACTATGAATCTCAGCCAGAACATGAGCTAATTATTTACCCCATCTGAGCCTGTTTCTTCATTTTTAAAATGGGAGAGTCCCAACACACAACTTGGTTCTTGACATTTTAATTAAATAACGTGCAGGAAAGCAGAAAGTAGCACAAAGATTATTGGTTACAAGAGCTAAATCACTGTGACTCCAGATCCAAATTCAATTGCTACAGAATCAATGGCTTCTGACCAGCCAATTTTTTAAAAATTATATTTTCTGGAGGTGTCATTTTTACTGGGAAAAACATAATGACACGTTTCAAGAAAAAAATAAGCAATAACTTTAATTGTCCACCACACATAACACAACTTTTTAATTTTTATGGGTCACCTTTAACATATATATACACACACACACACACACACACACACACACACACCTATTTTTAGTGTGTTAGTCATACTTGGGCAGTTTTTAAAAAGCATGTATGGTTCCAAGCAAATAAAAGAATCTCCAGGCACCAGGAAAACACCGAGGCACGTGCTGAAAGGAAAAGGTCTGACTCTCAGAGTTCTCCAAGGAGGAGGTGACAGATTAAGGGGAAGCGCAGAAGGCAGCAGTTGAACTTGGGCTCAGCTCTGAACTTGCGCATCAAGACCGAGTGGCTAAGAGGTAGGAATTGGTGCTGGGCCTCACTCTGCGAAGAGCTGTGGCGCTGGGGACATCTTTGTGGAAGTCCCCAGCAGCATGGCTGCTCCAGGAGCCCAGGGAGGGAAGGGCTGCAGGACCCGCCCCCACCCCCAGCCACCTAGGAGAAGGAAGCAGAAAAGGAGAAACAGCAACAGTCACTTGCACTTCCTCCATGATTTGCTCTTGGGACATGTCTGAGTAGCAGAGAGCAGCTCCGTGAGAGAAGAGAGCCACAGAGGAGGAACTTTCAGCACAGCCTAATAATAACACAGAGGTAATTTTAATTTTTGCTCTTCCGCCCTGGGAGCAGGGAGGCACAGAGGCTGTGTCCTCTTTTCCTCCAGAGGCAGCTTATGTACACTCCTGGAGGTGAGGCATCGCTTCTGTTCCATCCGGGTTTCTCCTAAGTGGGGAACAAGTCTTATGTCTTAAAATTTGGGATTCTTTAAAAATGCATGGGGTGTTCTAGAGGTCATCCACCTGGGTAAGACAGTGGAGGAAACCACTTTGCTCTGACTCATAAATCTGCCCCCAGTTGGCAGCATTTATAAATGGCCACCATTTACAGAACATAGTGCTGGTCCTGTGGGGAGTTCCAAAGGTGGCAGGAGTTACCATGAGCTGAGCCATCATCCGCATCTGTGCATGGAACCCAACGTAGCTTCCATTCAGGGTTTAAGCTGACAGGAGAGAAACAGAGTCTAGCAGCCACAGACTAGCAAAAACTGAAGACATCTTTCTGTTATTCCTTCCTACCTGGGTCTGTCAAACTGAATTTCATTTCGCCTCTTTGCTTTAGCCGCTGGAGAGTGTGAACCCACATGCCATGTCTTCCAGGAAGCCCTGCGCTCCTCTCTGAAGCAGGCCCCAGAGATGGGCCAGCTGACAGTGACTCATACACCCTTCCTTCCAAAGCCCAGGCCTGTGTTTGAACCCTGACCCTGTAGAGACTTTCCCTATTTTAGAGTAGAAGCTCTTCCATGTGTCTGCATGGGTTTGTGGTCCCTCAGAAAAGAATAACTGATGTGTTGCACCCTTTCTCCCCTAGGATTTAGCAGTGGCCACCATGGGCTCTGTGAATTCCAGAGGCCACAAGGCGGAAGCCCGGGTGGTGATGATGGGCCTCGACTCGGCAGGCAAGACCACGCTCCTGTACAAACTGAAGGGCCACCAGCTGGTGGAGACACTGCCTACCATTGGTTTCAACGTGGAGCCTCTCAAAGCTCCTGGACATGTGTCACTGACCCTTGACTCGGCAGGCAAGACCACGCTCCTGTACAAACTGAAGGGCCACCAGCTGGTGGAGACGCTGCCTACCATTGGTTTCAACGTGGAGCCTCTCAAAGCTCCTGGACATGTGTCACTGACCCTCTGGGATGTCGGGGGGCAGACCCAGCTTAGGGCCAGCTGGAAGGACTATCTGGAGGGCACAGACATCCTCGTGTATGTGCTGGACAGCACAGATGAAACCCGCCTGCCTGAGGCTGTGGCCGAGCTCAGGGAAATCTTGAATGATCCCAACATGGCCAGAGTCCCTTTCCTGGTGCTGGCCAACAAGCAGGAGGCACCCGATGCTCTTCCCCTGCTGGAGATCAAAAACAGGCTGGGCCTGGAGCGATTCCAGGACCACTGCTGGGAGCTCCGGGCCTGCAGCGCCCTCACTGGCCAGGGACTGCCCGAGGCCCTGCAGAGCCTGCGGAGCCTCCTGAGATCCCGCCGCTGCCGGTGTCTCCAGGTGAGAGCTGGTGGGGCCAGGAGTGGGGAGAACAAGACCTCTTGACCCTTGGGTCTATCTGTGCCCATCCGAACTGCAAGAGCCAGCTAAAGCTTGAGAAGCTTCAGCTCAGTTTATCAAACCAGAAGACTCCTTGTTCTTGGACAGGATATTTTCTCTCGGGACTTATTCTCAGTGGTGTTTATGTTGAAAATCAACTATTTTTGAGTAATGATACTCTAAGAAAGAGAAAAACCCTCAACACACTTCCTTTAATAGCTCGTTGCCAAGTGTGAATGGAGCCATTGTAATAACAGAGCAAGAAGTGGTTACATAATAACTGAGACCTCACTTCACACAGGGAAAGAGGTTTCAAAACCAAAGAAGAATATCATCTGGACATGGTCAGGATATATCTTTATGAGGAGCTTATATTTGGCATCTGTTCTCACGTTACACAGCTCTAAATGTTGGATATTCCTTCCTATCCTGGATTAAAATCAGTCTCCTGATAGCTCCTGATGGCGGTCCTGCCCTGTCTGCAGCAACACAACATAAATTGGCCTTCGATACTCTTCTAACACGTGAGATCTGCCAGGTCTCACTACCCAAAGCCTTCCCTTCTACTGCCCGGTTCGGTGTTTCCTAGTTCTTCCTTGTGTTTCAAGGCTTCCTGTGGTAGACACTGAGGTCACAAAGATGAGAGAGAGACAAGGCCTCAGGGCCTGTGGAACTCTGGCTGAGGAAGCAAAGTACCAGGACTGGGCTCTGTGCTTGGTGTTTTACCTAGATGATCTCTAATTCTCATAATTTTGCAAAATAAATATTATTCTCATTCTATAGAATTAAAAACTGAGGATTGGAGAGGTTGTGATGTCTTGTTGCTTGAAGCATAGAACTATTAAGTGACATGTCTGGAATTTGAAACCAGATGTGTCTACCCCTAATGACATCATGCTTCTGGAAGGTTTAAGCTGGGTAGACCCTCAGTCAGCAGGTGTGATGGGAGAGTACTCTAGTCAGAGGGAAGAGGAGGGGGGGTGTAGAAGGATAAGTAAGCTGGTGTGTCTGGAACAGGGGCTGGGGTGGGGGCGACTGAAGGTGACATTATAAAAGGAAACAAAACTGGAGAGGAAGCTCAGGTCCCAGCTGGGGAAAGCTGTTTGGACTTTAATAATTAGGAGTTCGGCTCAGGAAAAGGAAATCATGGGACTTACCATTTAAGAGAATGACTTGGTGGCAGTGTGGAGGTGAAATAAAGAGAAGGGGGGACCTTGGAGATGGGAGACCAGCTAGATGACCATTGCAGAACAGAGGAGAGGGAAGGGGAGGGAGAGGAAACACGAGAGTTATTTTTAAGAGAAAAACTTGAGAGAGGAAGAATTTGAAGATGGCTCAAGATTTTGAGTCTGCATGACAGGAGGGACTGGAATGTCATGAACTTGAGAAGGTGAGCACAGGAGGAACAGGCTGGGACAGGGACCGGGACCACTGGGTTCTGCTTTGGAAGAGCTGGGTATAGACTTGGTTGTAGCTTCTTTCAGACTGGGCCATTATCTGCAGTCCTTGCGATGCCTAGTACCCTGCTGGAGGCGTCTGCTTGTTGCCACTTGTGGAAGCTCATTTCCTCCTCTGATTTGTCACTTGTTATTGTGAGCTCATCCTCAGTGGGATCTGTTTTTCTGGTGACTCCCATATGCCCTGGACTGTGACAGTGTTTCTACAGAGTAGTTTTGCATTTGCACCTACCAGGATCCCGGAGATCTCAGTTATTTTAGACCAAATGTTACGCTAGTTTCTCTGCTTGGGGCTCCTGGGCCTCACAAATAGTATAAATCTTGGCTCTGCACCCATTCAATGCACAGGCTGTAAATATTCCATTTCTGACAGGTGATTTTTTTTCTTTGCATCCATGTCCCAAGATAGACAACTCGCTTGCTCATATTTCCCTGAGCTTGTGGGTAGCATTTTCTAACCCCCTTTTGAGGATGGGGCATCTCCTTGATGCTCTTCCTTTTCTACTGAGCTCAGATCAACATTTTCTCTCTTCCAAGCAAGACTAAGCCGCATGTGCTGTTCCCACACAGGTGACACAGCCTCAGCACAGTCCCTAGAGCCTAAGTTTGGCTCCTCTCCTTGATGCTCTTCCTTTTCTACTGAGCTCAGATCAACATTTTCTCTCTTCCAAGCAAGACTAAGCCGCGTGTGCTGTTCCCACACAGGTGACACAGCCTCAGCACAGTCCCTAGAGCCTAAGTTTGGCTCCACTAAAATCTCCACAGTCTCCAGACTTCCAGCTTGTGCTGACTGCTTTGGCTGTGGTTTCTCTTCATTTCTGCCACTAGATGATTTCCTTTCCTTTGTTCAAAGACAGCATACATAGAAAAAAAATTTTTTTGTTATAGTTTACCCAGTATTTCTATGACTCCCTAATGGGAAAGCCATCCACCATGTTGCTAGATGTTCCCAACTTGTTTTGATATGTGGCCAGGTGCCTTCCTGAGGTGCTGGCAGGAGGGTGGTATGGTTAGATCTGTACTGAGGAAGATAACCTGGGTGTTTGGGTGGAGGGAGGCTCCTGAAGGCAGGCAGACAGGTTAGAGGAAGGCCATGGTGTCTATTGGCACCACTGGTCTGCATGGACTTTCTATCCCTGCAGCTGCCCATCATGCTGTTGGTATTTTTTTCCCTGTTCTCTTGACAATCCTCTGCTTCAGCCAGGCCAGTCTCCTCTCTGACACCAGAATGTACCATGCTCTTTCCCAGCTGCCAGTGTGTGCTCCTTGCTGTACTAAAGAGTGGACAAGAGGGCCGGCAGGTGGCTCTGAGTGTTTGCCTAAAGCCCGTGGTCTTTGAAGCTGGAAGTGGTTGGTCTTAACAGACCCCAGGAAGTCTCCTTTCATCATCCCCCTTGGGTGAGATTCTGGAAAAAGAACAAAAGCAAAATACTGTAATAACCATGCCCAGTTAGTGTTAACCATAATTCCCTGCTGGTCCGTCTCCTGCTTGGAAGGACTGAATTGAAATCACTCACATAGAATTACCCAGCAGGTGAGTTCTAGGATGTTAACTGCACAATTCTCTGGGTGGGAGGTGGGTTTGAGAGCCTCAGTCATTCCACTCACTGGCTTCTGGAACGTTTGCCTGCAGCGAGTATGGGAACCATACAGGTTATGGGCCCTGTGCACCCTCCTGGGATTTCTGATGTCCCTGCACATGTGTTCTGGCCCATCAAGTTTCCATGTCAGGCAAGCAGTCCTTGCAGTTACAGTAGTGACCACAGTGGTGGCAGCAGTCCTGCGGGGTCACACATCTTTAGGGAAGCTTCCTAACACTGCTGCTCTTCCTTAGGCTTAAGTTGTTTTTCTTTCTGCCCATGCTCTTGAATCCTGCCCATGATTTAAGGACTCTGAGATCCCATCTCCCCAGGAAGACTCCAGCCACATCCATCCTCCCTCTGAACTCCCATGGTGCTGACCGTCCAGGCCCCTCTTCTTACTGCTTTAACTGGGGCTGCTCCACATGTTGAGGTGTGCTCTCTCTGGGTATGGTGGAAATTCCTAGAGATGAGGGGTCAAGCCTTCCATCCTTCTCCCCTCTTCGAAGCCTGGAACAATATTAGATACTAAGAGTTGCTCACTAAGTACTTGGGTGAAGAATGAATAACTAATTACAGTGAAGGAGCTGGGTGTCACGGGGCGGGGGGTGTCCCCAGGTCCTCTGAACGATCCAGAATAAAATCCAAAATTGAAAACACCAAGAGGTCCATTGGCTTGAGAGCCAAAATGGCAGCACAAACCTACGCCTCAGGCATCCTTTGTAGTAAACACAACAGAAAGTCACACGTACTCTTTCCACCTCACACTCTGAACAACCTGACTTTTAGCGTGCATAGGAGATGGGGTGGTAAGTGGGGACCTGTGACCAGACCGGACATCGGGCAGGAGTGACGGGACTGTCCAGTAGGTGCCTCTGCCTCAGCGCCTAGGTCAGGAGGTGGAGGTGCTGAGCTTCGCTGCCTCCTTGTGGGCCCGTGAGAGCAAACACGACTTAAAAATAAGGCTTAATTCTTCCTGTTGAAAATGAGGGAAGGGGCTTCACGCTCCTCCCTTTTCTTAGAGCATTTACTTTAGGAAACTTATATTTTTAGTTCATTTCTCTGTTTCTTTGAGATGTACATAAATCTTTTTGATAGCTAAATAAGCCTCTAGGCAGCTTTAGGACTCAGGAATGTTTTTCTCAAGGACCCAGGAGCCACCCCTTTGAAATGTCATCATGAAGGGAGAGGGCACCTCATCTCTCAGTTCGGGGGGAGGGAAGGAGCCTAAACTGGCCAGTGCCTCGCTCTAAGTTGCAAAACTATCTCCTGTCCTAAAGATATGGGAAGCTTGTTTTTCCTTCGGATGAAACCAATTAGCTAACACAGATGGTGACTCCAATTACCAGGTGAATCCAGGGTGAACTCGGTGTGACAAATGGTTCTGTCAAGTCCTCTTCCTTGAGAACGTGTCTGGAAGAGGTTGCATCTACTGGGCTATATAAAGGTTTCTCTCCGTCTTTGCAATCACTTAGGAGATTGCCTGCGACGAGCATCACATTCTGGTTGAATGCTTATGCAGTAATAAAACAATTTAATTTCTCTGTTACCTTTGTGGAGAGGTTTTTCTGGGTTGGCAGCAGATATGTTTTCAGTTATATTTCCTCTACAGGCCCATCGGCCTGGCTCTGTGAGCTTTGAGTTGCACGTCTGTTACCTTTGTGGAGAGGTTTTTCTGGGTTGGCAGCAGATTTGTTTTCAGTTATATTTCCTCTACAGGCCCATCGGCCTGGCTCTGTGAGCTTTGAGTTGCACCCATGATTGGTGAAATGACGTGGGTAAAGAAAAGGGTCCTCATCCTAAATGAGTCCCAGTGAACAAAGGAAAACTCAAGATGATTTCTGGAGTTTCTAATTAGGAATGATGAACACGAGTTCAGCACTCCCCGCAGGCAAGACTGTGAACACCTGTGACTGTCCCTGACCTCACTGAGGTAAGAATTTTGCAGAGCCATGAAGGGTGACCCAAA